GCCAAGCTGGCAAAATCATTGGCATTACCAGGCTGTTAACCCTATCCAGGAAAAGAGTGCAGTTGTGTGCCAGATAAGCTCTATTTTGAGGAGTGGGAAAAATGTATGAAATTGCATTGCTATTTTCAAATTTATTGAATTTCAGTTGGCACCAAATACAACCAATTTTAATCATAGCTGAACACACTTCAGTGCTGACACAGAAATAATTAGATTTGATTTGCTTTGCTCTGTCTTAATGGTGGCTGTTTTTGCCACCATTAAATACACACCAGTGATAGCCAACAAGGAAAACAGCTGCTGTGTTGGTAAATGCTGGAATTCAGATCTAGTGCCCACCTTACCAATGTCCTTGGAATTATTTAATTTCCAAAGTTCTTGTTGATTTAATAGATTTAATTCATCTCTTAATTGCTATTCCCTTTGTATTTTCTTTTCCATTCTTTCTTAAATCATTCACAAAAGCTACTGACATGAAACAGGATGAAGTTAGGAGAGTGGTATTTGCCATGACTTTAAGATCTCTGAGAACTGGAAAATATGATGTATGCAAATTGACATACTGTAGCTTCATAGTAATGAAGTTTTGCCTAAGTTATTTCACCTTGTTCTTATTAAAAAAAAAAAAAAAAAAAAAAAGGCAGTTTCCAAAAATAGGAATGACTTTGAATGAGTGGAGGTAAAAGTGACCCTTTGATTTTTCTGATGTTTGTAAACTGATAATCTAAAGTAACAAGGAGTTGGGACTGTGACTCTACAACTTCTCCAGGTGATCAAAGGCAACGTGCTCAAACCTTCCCTTTCTTATAAGCTGGTTCTGGCATTTGTCTGATGCAGGGTGAGCTGGATCAAGGAGCACCTGTCAGGGAATCCATCCCTTTTACCGAGTTACCAGAATGGATTCACAGTGGGTTCACATAGGTGAGGGAAGGAGCCTGGTGACTTCAAACTGAAATGGTTCAGGAAGGCACAGAACTGACCTGAGGAGGTGCTCCTTCCTGAAAGCAGCCTGCACCCATTCCATAGTAGCAAGGAGACAGAAGTGAGTGGTGGGATAGGCCTGAGGAATTGGAGTAATGCAAATATAGAATAATACAGCAGTGCACACCTGCTGTCTGTCTGCCTGCACAGCCTGGTAATGCTTCCTTTATGAGAAACAGTGTACATTGGACTCATGGTAAATTTCAGAATAGTAAATTTAGATTTAATAATTAATTGCTGTTGCAGACAGTAACAGAAAAATTGCACAAACCTGGGTAGATCAAAGAGTACACTGGAAAACTTTTCTGTGGGGCTAAGATTGGTGAGCAGGTTTCCTTAGCCTGTGAGCACTGGTGCAGCATTCCCAGCTGGTACCTGTGGTTGCTCTAGCAGAAGGATCTGGCATGGGCCACAGATGCTCTACTTGTCTTTTGCTGCAGGAATGACTTAGTAGAACATCTGGAGCAGTCTGTACTACTATAACTACACTTTGTTTCACCTGTGCATTGATGGATTTCTGTCTGTGAAAGAACTAACATGGCACTTTTTCTGCAACTTTTGTTTTAAATGTAAAGAAAACAAAGATTGTGATTGTTTCACATGTAATAATTTCCTAAAGTGGAGATGGAAAGGTGTACTTATGTTACAGACTGTGGTTTTTTTATTTTGTTTTGTTTTTTTTTTCCCCAAGTCTTTATAACAGCAGTATAAAGTGGTGAATGGAGTGTCTTCTCTTTGTTTTCAGTTGGGCCCAAAGGACGTGTTCTAAGTTACGAAATCAGAGAGGACCATCATCATTTAGCTAAGAAGAATTACAGGCACTGGCGTTCTGCATGGGAAAAAGGACACGTGGATAAGTGGCCAGATAACGTGGAGTTCATTCTTAAAGACATTTCAACAGCTGCTGCAGATATGAAATCTGTAACCCTTGATGCAGTGAGTGAATCCAAACAACTCCCCCATTTGACACGTGTCTTTTCTCCATTAATGAAAACCTCTAGTGCTCACACTCACAATGGGACTCCCGTACCTAGTGTAACATGAAAAATAACAATCCAGGTCCTTATCAGTGAAAGAAACGTCGTAAATTTTTTGTCAGATACAAATGCTTTCAAGGTTTCAGTTACAGGTTGTCAAATGAAAGAGTGATAAAGCTGTACTGTAGAAATATTACAATTGCTATCTTAAAAGTAAAGACCAACTCGCTTTCTTTTATTTTTGAGAAATTGATATTTTTATGAGATAAATATTTCAAGCATTGAATTTCAGTAAAATACATAACTTTATTAAATATGTAACTATGTGACCACTTTGCCATCAGCTGTATAGAATGCACAATGTAACTAAAGCATAATTCAGAGAATGCTATGGCTTGCTCTCCTGTCCTACTTCTTTGTATCCAGATTTCCTAAAAGGAGTAATGCTGGAGAAAACAGCTTGATGTTACTCTTCCCTGTAAAGCTGAGAAACTACTTACAACTACTTATTTACTAAATGCTTTAAACAAATATCAATTTTTTAAATGGTGCAAGCAAAGAAATATAATACATAGCATAAAAATACCTCTTCAAAAAATGTTTCAAGTAACAGTCCTGCAGGAAGGATCAGATATTGCATATCCCATTGTTCTACAATCTGAATAGCTTCCTAGCAGAAGATGGATAAATTGCCAAAGACAATAAGTATTTTTAATCTTGAAACTGACAGCAAGTTAGACACTGTGACCATGTGTTCTTTTTATGTCTTTGAACAATTTTTTTTTCTCACATTTGAGAAATAGGTATTCAAATGTGTTAGTAAATGTAGTCTTCTAAAAGTTTTTATTACTGTCAGGATTATGGGATTTAATTACTAGGAGGCTTAACTTCCTACAGACCTACTTAGTTGGTCAAACGCTACATGCTCTTTAATAGAAATTCATTTGGAAGTAGAGAGGACTTTGTTTTGTGTAAGAGTGCACCTCAGGTTTTGAGAGGCAGTAATGAAACTGGTTGATGATTACATACTGCTGTTGTATGCATCTCTTTTCCATAACCTTTCTTTCTCCCCAGCATTGTTGTATGTTACATTGGTAGATGTACATATGTTCTCCCAGTAAATATTAATATGTATTTCTCTTGCAGGTAGTTCTGGATATGCTGAACCCTCAGTGTGCTCTGCCTGTTGTACACCCAAGCCTGAAACAAGGTGGGGTGTGTGCTGTGTACTTAGCAAAGTAAGTATTTCTTTTTGGTACCTTTATTCAGGCATTACCTGGCCTCAGTACAAAACCAAGCACCTTCTGAAATACACATCCAGCATTAATGAAATGGTTAACAAAGTTGGGTTTTTTCCCATGTAGCTTTCTTTGGGAGTTGTACTCAGTATAAATTACCCTTGGCCAAATCCTTTGGTATCTGCCTGGGAAATGTTCTCCTTCCGGTCAGTGAAGTTTGGCCATTATGGCATCCTCAAAGTAACTGCACTGTTCTCCAGTGCAATAGTCAGGTTGCTCCTTTACCCTAAAACTGAAGGACTTGTGTAACCTCAAAGGTAAAGAATGTGCCAAAGTCAGTAGAACTGAAATTTTGTGATTTGGGTTTTCAAAATACTACTTTATCCTTTGTATTTCTTCAAAAGCATCACACAGGTTATTGAGCTTTTAGACAGAATACGGAGCTTCAAGCTTCCTTTTTTGTGTGAAAGGATAATTGAGGTAACTCACAGGAGATGGTCAGTACTCCCTGCTAAACTCAAGCATTACAAATCAAGTCAAATGGTGGAAACTCAAGAAAATATTGAAGAACTACTTCAAAATGAAAATGAAGAAGTCCATATTCAGCATCAAGCAGTTCTTAAGGAGAGCGAATACAATGGTAAGGACTTTACTGCTGATGAGATCCCCTATAACTGCACTTTGATAATCCACTGTAGGAAGAGGCAGCATTTTTACCTAAGTCAGCTGAGAATAGGCAAGGTTTTGGACAGCTTGGACCTTGTCAGGTTTAAAGAAGACTATTAATTCTTATTTAAGTTAAAATATCCTACTAAAAACCTGGGCTAAATAAAAAATAAACGTCAGTCTGCAATAAAGAATTACTGCTCTTTTACTACTGTTTTCAAATTTTTGAGTTTTAAGAAAATTCAGTTCTTTATATTCAGCCCAAAGCTGCTTTAGAAGACCCTGATGGACTTAAAGATTTCTTAGGAGAAATGGTAGCCAGTGAGCTCTGTTTTAAAATAACGGTGTTCTGGCAAATCCAAAAATGCTGCCATATATATATTATATTTATATGGCAAATGTAAATATATATAGAGTACAGATCTGCAAAATGCAAAGAGTTCTGAATATACTGATAGGTGACAACAAAAAAACCAAAACATGTCAGGGAAAAATATTACATGTACATTGTCTACTCTAGTCTGCATGTAGGTCTTAAATGTGTGGGAACAAAATAAAATAAAAATGTCCTTCTCACAGAATCACTCAGAGATGCTGCTGAAACAAACCACTCAGTGCCTTACATTGCCCGACCATCCCACTGGCAGGAAGCTCATTCAGGTGAGACGCTTGGAAAAAGATTATCTTAAGTGTTTAGTGGTATTTTTATTTCAAATTTTTTTTTTTTTTTGTAGTAGCATTTGGTATTTTCCTATCTGATGAAACCATAAAACTGACAATAATAAAAAAATTATTGCATATTGAAATACTAAAGTGGTAACTTTTGTTTTTTAATTAGCGTTCCTTACCCAGCTGAGAAAGTTTCGGCCACTGCTTTCTTGATGCTGCTGCCTCCTTAGCTGCTAATTTGAATATTGTATCAGAATGAAATAAAACATTACAAATTAGATGCTACATTTTGCATGTTGTGTAACTTTTACCAATGACTGCTCTGATTTCTACCTCACATCAGTTTGAAACACCGTTATCCTGCTATGTAAAGAGAAACATTTGAAGGGAATCCTCACGTCTGGTGGTGTGATGCAGTCCAGATTGTTCTGCAAATCATAGTATCTGTTTCTGCCTTATGAGGTGCATTTCATTCTCCATTGCTTGTAAACCAGTCCATAGACGTATCTTGATCCAGGGTGCTACATAGTTGCCTTTTGCTGGACAGCCTCTGACAGTCTACTAGAAATAAGGAGAAAAAAATTCAGTAAGAAAATAAGGGATCAAAGGCTCTCCTTTGAAATTAATACTTTCCTGGCTTCCAACTGGTGCCTATAGGTTTCTTTAATAGCAAAGTTCTTAAAGCATGACTTTAAGAGATACTGAAATTCACTGAATGTGTTCAGTTGATAAAGCTGTGCTTATTTCAACATCAAAACAGTTGTTGACAGGCACAGCTTTGGTTCCCTTCTAGCACTCACGCTGCAAGTTGGCTGGTTATTTGTGAACGTCACTTCATATAACGTATTCTCAAATGGTTGGAGGAAACAGTTTTTTCTGGCCCTTGTCAGGGATGAGAAGCAGATCTCTCAAATAAAAACAGACTTAAAGTCATTTTAGGTCTCCCCTGAGTAAGTGGTGATGTTTAACACATTAAATTATTAAGTTATGTTTTGTAAATGACTTGCTTTATATCTCAGGAAATACTTAAATGCCAAATTTTTCAAAGTCGAGAATCACACTTGTAGTAAAGCTGACAAAAACAGTAACAATAGTACTGTAATAGTGGAAGTTTGGATATAAGTGAGAACATGCAAATAAAACATACAGAGCTATAAATAACTACCTTTGTATCAGATAAGTATACTAGGAACTGGTTCATTCATTGGTTAGCTACAGGAGAGTGTCTTTGCAGAGCTGAGGCCTTATCCAGATGCCTGAAGAAGTTTACATCTCAAGTGCATTTAGCTTCTAATATAAAAAATTTAATAATGAGGTGTCCCCACAGCTGCTCTATGTAATAGAGGCCCCTAATGCAATGGCTGAGGGTGCTATTGTGAGTAGAGTAATGGGCAGAGATTCAATTACATAAACAATTCTTGCAATAAGCTCTTGTTTTCTACTCATACCCCAGGATTAAAACAGTGCTGTATAAATTTTCAACAAATTAGATACTTAGAGGAAAATGGGAATTGTGATTTAACCTATGTCCAAACCCATGCCACAGCTGAGCATCCTGCCCTTTTTCAAAATATGCTCTCAGCAAGAGCACTTTAACTCCTTTTACACACCAGTATTTTTATTGTTCCAGCCAATCATAAGCATTTAAAACAGGACTCTCCATTTCATTTATAATGCAAGAATAGTAACAAATGCCTGAGTAGACTGGAATACACCAAAAATCTACCATAGTAGATGAAAGTAACATGAAGAGACTCAATGTAAAGCAATTGGTACTTCCAGGAAGTCAAGATACAATATGTGAAAATGAATCCATAAGGGTAAAAGCAAAGTTCTGCCAAGGTGTAAGAGGAAGGGACAGAGCAGTCCCTGCAGCACTCTGAAGGGCAAATGTGGCCCCAGTTGCCTAAACCAATGAAAAATTATTCACAATATTAAACCATACCTTGGGCTTTATAAGAAGGAGAGTCGATAAGCATTTTTTTAGTTGAAAGGGTGTCCTGTGAATTCTGGGATAAGTGTAAGTCCATCATCTCCAAAGTGTCAGTAGATGAGGAGGAAGATGATAATCCAAGTCGTACGAATCTGCCTTTCTTCCCGCAGAGCAGGCACTCTGTAGGAGTAGCACTGGGTCCTCGGGGCAGCTGCACTTGATCATTATAACTCCTCAGAGCTCCGCTGTGCTGCACAGAGCGCTCTCGCTGCCAGATGTAATGTGTTGGAGCAATAGCCATCACCTGTGGGAACAGCCATGGCATAAGGAAGAGCAGAAATAACGGGGAAACACACAGCAGAAAACAAGATCCACTTAGTGTATGGAAGGGAATTAACACAGCTGAAATGGGCATCGCCTCTTATCTGTCTCACTGACCACTGGAAAGTTTGCTCCTTTAGGCAGGAATAAATAATCCTGATACCAGTCAGGTGTGGAAACATCCCAGCTTCCAGCCCTGTATGTTCACATGAGTCACCACAAAGAGCAGCTCATGCTCGGGATGTTGGACACAAGAGGGTCTCTTTGGCCAGCTACCAAACACCAGCTGACAGTGTTCATCATCACTGAAATAATGACAGTGGGAAGCTGGGAGGATATGCATAGAAAAGCATCCTGCACTCGCATTGTTCCCTCTGCTTTTTCCCATAGTATCTAATCCCATCCCCAGAAATGGCCTCTAGAGTAAATGACATTTGCTTTTCCACCATCTGAAAGTAAACATTATGTACTTGGAACATGACAAGGGCTTTTCCAGATACACACTTCACCTGAAAAGTGAGGAATATATTTTTTCCTTGTGAATTGTAAAGCACACTAAATTATTGCTAAAGTGGATGCAGTGAAACAAATTAAGGAAGATTTTAAATTAAAAATATTTGCATGAAGCAGATTCTAGCCAATAGAAACTTTACTTTTAACAGCAGTGCAATATAAAATATTCTACTTTACTTAAAAAACAGTGTTTCAAACAATATATTTTAAATAGAGTATAAATGGACCATTACATTTTAGCAGCATCTTCTCTTTCCCATGGATTGTGTGTTTACTTTAGGGAAGAAACTGTACAGAGCTACATTTCTAGCTGGTGTTACTTATTGTGACTTCAACATCTACAATATGAAATCTCCCTCCCTACCTCTTCACAGCAGCGTCTGCTTACAATAGCCCTGTAGTCAATTCTACTCCAAAGTTGATCTCTTAACTTTAAGAAATCAGGGAAGAGCTTTCTCCAGGCTTTGCCCAAAGCCCATGGGAAAATGTCATACTTTGCTTCTTCATTGTCTTCTTCAACTGTGTTTGCCAGATACCTTCAAATATATATATGTTTATGTTTGTAAATATTCAATCTTATACCACTATATTAGAATGACTTCTAAAATAACAGACATATTGCAGTGGTTCTTTTTTTCTAGTATTATGAGGAAAAAACACTAACAAAATACAGCCTTCTCTCTGGAATACAATATTTTCTTAATTAGTTGCATGTGCATCCTTTGGGTAAAAAACCCAAGCTTTTATAAAAACTGTTTTACCCTAGAATTTCCTAAATTAATAGATAAGCAAGAACTAACACATCCTGACATCCTTCTCCAAGCTGGCAAGAAACCCTTGAATAAAATAAACAGTTTCTGATTGATTCTTTAAATAAGGCTTAAAACTATCATGTGAAATCTTAAACTTTTCATTTTTTACTTTATGGATTTTAGCTATTCTTGGAAAATTACATTGCTCATATTAAATTAGGAGCAAACAACTAAATACAGGTCTACCTTTAGTTATAAATTAAAAACTTAAATAATTTTTTTAATGTCTCCGTTCTTCCCTTCGTTCACTATCTAGTTACTTTTAGTTTTGTTTTCTCAGACAACAGGAAAATGTTTATTTCCTCTGGATCCATCTGGTACTAAGCTCCTGTAAATCACACTTGGAAAAAATTAGGATGTTTTGTTTCCTCCCCAGTTTTCTCACTTGCTCCTGACCCCAGTATTCTCTCTAGTTCCAGTCCCACCAGACTCTGTCCCCTTCTAATCCTTTCACTGTTCTGGCCTGGATTTTCCCCCTTCAGTGGGGTCAGAGGGCTCCCTCCTCCATGCTCTGTGGATGTCACCC